TAATGTACAGATATATACATAACTTGAACGAAGTTTATATTTCCTCCACACTTATATCACAAAGTTGTTCATTACATGTCCCTGCTGACAAATTGACTTAACACATCATTTTCATCCTCAAATCACAGTACAGTATCGGCAGCAGATTCCAAACTAATACTGTACTAACTGACTGTACAATTTACAGCATAACAGCCACACTGAGGACACAAAACATGTTGCCTCTCATTACACAGTTGTACGTACTGTACGTATGTGTTTCAAGTTTTTTGCACGTCACAGTGATGGGGTTAAGAACTGACTATAGTAATGATGAAAACAATGGATGTTGCTCTGATACACTTATGATACTCTGAGAAGCATACTACAAAGGAAAGCTAAATTAATGGTGAATGAATATCAGAAAAGCCGTTGTAACAGACACTGTATAATACCATATGCACTATGATTTTGTACATGTGTAAATTCAAGATTCCAAAGACAATGTCAGAGTTTGTATTGCATGACCAGATAGATAACTAATATAGTTGTGGATTACAATGACAAATAATATTAAAATTCATATACAGTACTGAACACATCTCATAAAATATAACATCTATAAGTTTTCACCATCGTAGGTTACATATAATTCATACTGAGAATGCTATGAAAACTACGGTAATTTTTCAAGATAATTAGCTTTGATTAGGGCTACAGAATCATGCTCTAATGAATGTATGTGTCTGAATGTGAACTCACTCTCTTTCTCCTTCTCATTGAAATTCATACAAATTGTTTTATCTACCAGTACAGTACTTTGAGCAGAACATATATGCAATAGTCTCTCTTTAACTAGGAATAATTATGGAAGCATCCAGACAATAGTACAGTACAGACACCAAAATCAAAATCCCCACTCTTTAAGGCTGCATATGGAAATTATCACTGCAGGACACCTTTCTGTTTTCGAAAGGGTAGAAAGACGAATATATAAGTAATACAAGTAGAGTAATATAAGCCCTGCAGTAGATGGTTGTACTGTACCGTACTGTTGTGGAGATTTGTTGGTGTTGTGGAGGGCCTGAGTACCCCAGTGTTCACCAAGTTATGCTCCGCACCAACACAGTACAGTGCAGTATCTCACATGCTGACATAAACCTACCTACATGTGCAGATACAGTACAATGTTATTATAATGAATTAACAATAATTCATATTGCATCCACCTCCAGAATATTATAAGATACTGTACACAATAGGCCAGGTCATTTGGGTCTTTGTTCTTGCCAGTTTTTCAAATTTGGGGGGATTCTCCAATTGGGTATTGTCTCCTAATACAGTAGGGGCAAAAGCGAACCTCATTTTGACATAATTGTTGGATTTTTTGACGATGTAGATTTCTTATAAGATGATACTTATGTACATATGGAATAATGGAAAAATACATTTATGAAATAAAGATTAAAATACATACATACACGAAGCTTCTTTACAGACTCTCCTGTTAACTTTTTTTGCTTATTATGATGAGTGAAATTTTTTTTTTAATTTGCAGGCCATATAATTTTTAAATCACTTACTGGCCTTTTGAAAGACATTACCATGACAGCTGAAGGACAAGATTATGAAATATAAGGCACAGATAAGGCAAACACACTCCTTACACAACTAAACGATGGCAGTTGCTTGGGTACACAAAGATGGCTGACTGGCACACTATAACAATGAAGTGAAAAGACAGGTTTATGAAAGAATGTTTTCGGTTATAAAAATTGCCAGTTTTCAAGAAGCCCAGTATTTTTAATGCTAGATTATTGATGTTACACCTGTACAAACTCTACCACCTCTGTTGCTTGTGTAAGGACTGATAATCACGTAAGGGTGTGGTGAAGGGCAATGACCACACTCACCACAATATTTGTGATAATTTTAAACTCCATTTTCTCCTGTCTTTATGTATGAATACTAACAACAAAACACAAAAGAAGTTTGTAAACAAAACCAATATAATGTAAAATATAGCACTTCAAGACGGCCAGGAACAAAATTACCATGCATGTGTATGGGGAGTTGTGTGTGTGTATTTTACACTGTACAGTACAGTGTATAATAATGTTAATACAGTATTCTTGTTCTGCAACTTATCACATATACACACAATTTAATAATGTACATTTCCACAGAAAACTGTAACAGCAAGCTTTTACACATTGCTCTTTCAATTACTGTACTTTAAAAGTATAAGTGAATATGGACATCTAATATCTTCAAACACATTTGAGCAACACAGGTTTTATCTTGGGTTGGGGTTACTGTTGTTGGAAAAGGCAAAGTGCTGCTGAAAAGGAAAATTGACTGAAATGGGACTTGGGTGTTGGCCAGTTGCACACTGCTGACTATGGCCAGTTATGATCTGATCATGTTCAAGGTGTACACAGCTTGAAAATTTTAGCAAGTAAGTCTTCTCCACTCTGAGTGCAGGAGGTTCCAAGCTAAAAAAGCAATATACAAGAACCTTAAAAAGAATTACTGTAGGGTTTCTCAATATCACAATGTCTTAATTCTACATAAAATGTATTCAAGTAATATTATGACAAAACCATCAGAAGGAAGAAATTCAGCATAATTCTTCATCATGCAAAACTGATAATACACAGTGGCAACAATTTCCTTCAGATTTCCTAAAACAAAATTAAATTACAGCTTTCCTCAGATGAGTAACATGCACATTAAGTTTCAACATTAAAAAATAAAGACTAAGTATAACCTATATGATACACTGCTTCTTTAATACTTCCTCACCAACCAAATTATTTTTCAATTCAAAGTTTTTCTTTGTATGACTGCCATTCATCAAAGACATTTACAGCTCAGCTCTCCCCATACCAAAGACAATGAGAAACAAATACAGTTTCTTTTCTGAAGGTCTTAGCCACAAGGCATCACCACACCATGAAAAGATGAAACCCAATACAGTAGTAACTTTCAATACAATATACAATATTATACAAAAAAAAAAATCTACCTCCTGCTGAAATCATCATACAGTATATGAAACAATCATTAGTTGCTCCCACTAAACACTATGAGCGTTTGAATCAGTAAATAATATTTCTCCTAATTATGAGAATCAGGTGATGGATGAGAGATGTACAGGATACAGTACAGTACACACCAGAATGTGAAATCACAACTATGACAACAGAAATATATAATAAAAAGTACAGGAGAGTAAAAAGTTATGAATGCAAGCTAAAAAATATTAAGGAATAATGTTTAGTCTGTTTTAAAATATAAAGTGGTTTGCCAGATGGTGAGATTAAGAGAAATACCTCTCCTAGATTTACATAATCCAACTCAGACATCAGTTAAGGTGAGATGACCCCAGACACACACATATAAACACTAAGAAATCAACATTTCCATAAAATGCCTTAATTTTTCCTAAACATGAATTATAAACTCACAAAATAGAGATAAATTAATATGGCTTCAAAATAAAAATCTAGAAGCTTTGAAATTGAATTGATTATGCTCAGAAACATAACAGTATAGTACGGTAATAGAAGTACAAGTTCATATGGATATTAGTATTCATGCACAAAACTCTCTTCAACTCTAATCATTACTAAATTCCTTGTATGATTATTATTATAATTTATATAAAATGTGTTTAATTGTCCTCTGTGTTGGGGTTTTCTCTCATCTTGTACCCAAGTTTCTGTGTGATAATGTGACCAGCCTTATTATCTAGTTTATAAGTTTAAAAAACTTTACTGTTGCTCTAAGTTGATCTGTTGTATTAAATAGAATAAGAGAATTGCAAATTTTATAAATACTTTTATATTATAACAACATCTACACTACATTAAAACTTCACCTTTAAATAAAAAGGTTAAGTATATCATTCTGTGTTAAGCTACCATCAGTTCATCACTCAGCTAATTACTACCCAGAAAATTTGTCCTAATACTTTAATGAGATATTGCTGTAGTGACCTTTAACATACATATCATACTAGGCTGTGATTTATTAACATAGGTTCACACACTCCAAAAAGGATCTTTACAGAAGAGGGGTTCAGTGAATTTTAAAATGAACACCACAACTCCTGTTGTCTTGGTAGGGTTGTCAAAATCCTTCACCTGTTGTGTCATAATGTCTCACACAAAATCGTAAAGATTCTTTTTGGATTAAGTGTTCAGTAGCATCCATTTCATACATAAGTCACCTTCAGCAAGTTTTGGGGCTCTAATTGTGCTTTTAAGAGTGCATCATGAATAATGGATCATTCATCTTAATTTTCCTTAAAAATAAAATTTAATGGGTAGTATTCCTTCTACAACAAATAACACGGATCAACTGGGGTGTTTTTTTGTCTAAGAATAAATGTATTTTCAGCACAGTACACCAACAATAAGACATGGCTAAACTGTAAGTCTTCTTGTGGTGCTTGTCATGGCATTTACAGAAGTGGTTTAATCACCATTCCAGTTTTCTGACTAGTTACATTATATCCCTTCAATTATGGGTTCCTTCACCACACATTGTTGGAGATATGTACAGTACATGGTTATGAAGATTGTCTAATGCATCATCAACAGCCAGCCAACTCAAGACAATTTTTGACTGGACTAAATTAAGAGATTTTTGCTTGGAATAATTTATTCCAGATTCTGAGTAAATACCTGTACAGGTATGCTTTAAAATATGCCAAATGAGCCATCTTCTATGATTAAACCAGAGAAATTATTGCACCATCTTTGTGTGTGTATATATATATATATATATATATATATATATATATATATATAACATATATATATATAATATATATATATATATATATATATATATATATATATATATATATATATATATACCTAAACGGAATTGCTGCATGTCTTTATTCAAGACATCTTCATGTCTTGAATAGTGAAGCTACCGTTGTTTTCATTTTCCCGTGTGATTTTATCAAGATTTATCTTATCCACGTTTTCATTGTGGATTTACATGAAATATATATATATATATATATATATATATATATATATATATATTATATATATATACTGTATATATATATATATACAGTATATACAGTACTGTATACAGGGTATAACTTTAATATTGATACTACAGTATTCGCAAGTTAGAAGCACAGGGTCATTAAGAACAAAACATTCCATTTTAAAGTGATCCATCTCCCCATCAGTACTGTAAAATAATACTGTACAGTATTCACTGTTGTAACAAGATATAGCTTCTGACGTAATTTTAAGCATTTAACTAAATCTTATACTGTACAGTAATCTGTTCTTTCAACTATCCTCCACTTTTACTTCTTAGCCCAAACTGTTTCCCATATCAGTAGCTGAATTACCGTAATGCACAAGGATCAGAGCTACACTGCCAGCTGGAGGGAATTACTAAATTTTCATGATATAATAAATATGTAGACCTTTTAGCAATATTTCAAATGATATTGAGATATCAACGACACAAAACAACAAAATTAATGTGTGTGGAGAATAACCTTGCTTCTAAGGAAGACACCAATTTGACATGATTAATACATGGACAGCAATCATCTTTATCTTCTCTGTTGAACAAAGATTGCAAAACCGAGGTTCTTGGGAGTTTGGGTCGGTAATACACACAAAAGTTGTAATCTACTCTATAAACAGTTTTGCATGCCGTACATTTTCAAGCATACAAGTATATTCCTGATAAGAAAACCATCATTTCAATAATTCTACAGTGTACGTATAGGCCTTTGCCAAACCCACAGCAGCCTCGTTATTTTAATTATTTCCCAAAGGAAAAAAATAAACATGGACTGCGTAAGTTAGCTGGCACATTACTGACCAATCATGAGATAAAAGATTGTTTCTATACATTACTGTCAATGTTCTGAAACTAATAAAAACAGAATCAAACTCGACTTTTCAGCAAAGGAATTTTTACTATTTAAATGTACTTTATCATACGAACATTCTCAAGAGCCCCATCAAGGTCCCACATGTTCATTATGAAGTTCCTACCCTTGATAGAATATAAAAATAAATAAATAATCAAATAGATAAGGCACTCATCCGAAATCAAAATTGTATATTCGGTTCAATAAATTATTACACTTGATATAATTGCCACATGACAATTACTTCTGATGAACATATCAGTCAACAAGCCATATGAGCAAGTACTGTATTAAAAGAAATTTATATATGCACCTTCATTGCATGCAATTAAGGGAAACACTTGGCACTATGGAGTAGTTTTTTAACTTTATAACCTCAGTGTAAATTTACAGTCCAACCTAACCTTTTGTAACAGGCAAATGAAGAACAGATGATGAGCCTACCACACAAACAAGACTTACATACTAACATCATTAAGGTGAATTTTGAAATTTCTAAAACAAAACCTTAAAATAGCTTATCTACTGAATAACATATAAGGTTCTATACAGTAACTACAAAACTCTAAACACCAGAATCTGATCTGAACTCCATCATTGTGACTATTCCTATACTGTATTAATGTCTTTGTTTTTTTAATTAATTGGTCTCAGAATACACTCACCAATGCTAGTAACACCAAGCATATGAGGCATATAAGTTTCACTTTGTGGCACGAGCATTGAGGGAACCTGAGCCATTGCTTGTTGATATTGAGCGTGTGCCTGGGGGTTCTTTGGGGGTCGACCTCTTGGCCGTTTGGCAGGTGGCATAAGAGTAGGTTCAGGGGTCGTATTATTAGATTTCTGTGTCAGTACTTGCGAAGTGGGAACTGTGCCAGCTGGTTGATTTGCTTCAGAATCAGATTCTTGAGTGCCATCATCTGGATTGTATATTTGTTTTCTAATTTTACTTAATTTGTCCTCAGCGTCATGTCTCCGTAAATGGTCCTTAAGCTTGTCTCCCCGGGAAAAGTCTTTACCACAGATGCTACACATAAAGGGCTTCTCTCCCGTGTGCATGCGGCGATGACGCTTAAGATGTGAGGCTCTAGCAAAGTTCATCTGACAGAATTCACACTCAAATGGTCTTTCACCAGTATGTAATCGGATGTGGTCTCTGAGGCCGGACTGACTTTTGAACTCCTGTAAGAAAGACATACATGAGATTCTTGATGCAGAATACCATCACTCCAGTACTGTATCAAATGCTTCAGCAGTCAAAAAAATGCATGCAGTAGTTTCTTAGGGTAAAACAATTTTGGATTCAGCACATGAGAGTTAAAAGGAACAAAACATGCTTATCTATAATAACTGTACCACTGCCATCATGGATATTACCGTCAACTTAATAAAATCTAATTCTGATTAACCCTTTCAGTCCTACAGACGTACAGTAATGCGAGTCAAAGATTACAGACCAGAGATCTAAGGACGTACAAGACGCACTTGTTTTATTCCTTCCCGTCTCAAATATCCTGGAGCAGATAATGAGTTCTATAATGATGGCATATGATACCAGCAGTAATAAATCATCCTCATAAATTTCACTACTGCTCCATTAGCCTCCAAACACCACAGTGAAAGACAAATATCAGAACATAAATTTGGCAGCCACGAGAATGATACCCGTACATCAGGTAGGCGCAAATACGTACAAGAGTAAATGCAAACAAATGACAACAAGGGATGATATGCACACAGTTTTGATGTAAGTAAAGACATAGAGGAATATAATGATGATGATGAAGTTTAGCTTGAGTGTACCGGCATCTCCTTGTGCTGGACAAAGAGATGCCACAATGTTGTACTGTAGTGTCCCAAACTATCACACCACTAAGAAAACAACAATGAAACAGGAAATGCTAACCAAGATCTATTATTAACTAATTTTTATGTTTTATTGCTTTTAAGATTATGTTTAATTACCTGTACTGTAATTTATAAGGTCAAGTTACCCTTTTTATTTACTTTTTATTTTTTAAAGAACCTTAGGTTACAGGGATGCAAAACTGAAAAGGATTATGCTTAACAAAATTGTTTTCAACTGAATAGATATTGATTGTCATCTCTCAACAAAGATTATTACTGGTTGGTGTTCTCATTCTTGCTTGGCCTCTGTTCTCTTCACAATGTATCCAGACATGTTGCAATAGAAATAATATACTGTACATCATATATGAAACTGATACAGTGTAATAAGTAGCAATGCCAAAACACTCAATTTACTTCAGTTCCATTATAATTGGATGTGTAGGAATTCCATAGATATCGTTAGCACAAGAGGAATATTTGCCATTCCGACTCTACTCGGGTTATCACAAACACAATCATCAACTTCAAACTTGCACAATGTTAGATCATCACTTAGCCCAAACAATCACTGTTCCTTTCAAACCAATTACAATCCTTTCTATCTGTTATTTGTGTGTTGCAGTCCCCATTATGATCTACAGTATATCACTCTTAATTCATTTAGTTTCCATACAATTCATTTTCTCATTTCACTCCACTCAATTAAAATACTTGTATATAAGTTAAAAAAAAGCCCTTAGTATAAAAAGACTAACCTAGCTACAATAATCAGCCAGCAAGGGTATCTCACCTTCTTACACAAAGGACAAGGCATAGAGGCACTTTGAATCGCTTGTTGAAGGTAATAGTTCAAGTCAATTCTTCCATCACTTGTGACGTCAGCGATAGCTTCATTAGTTTCGGCTGGTTCCTCCTTCACACTCACTTCATGTTTGATGACCTCAAGTCTCTCGCTCTATAGACATATAATAAAAATTGTAAGGGCCATATTAATGTACTGTACAAGATATCAGTCATGATGCAGTATTTCAGGTTCTAAGAATACCTAATCCCCATTAATTCAATAACATTAGAGTTATGAATAAAATAATAATATAAAAACGGTATAACCATTTAACATCTTCACTATGATGACACCATTTCTAATATTTGATTTGGCTAATGTCACACAATTTTATTCAGCACAGAAGGGAGCCTGTACATATGGGGTTAAAATTATATTTGTTTTGAAATACAGTACAGCATCATATTATAATTCCTCAAGAACATCACGTTTGTTGGACTAAAACCAGGATCGGCCAGGAACAGTTCCATGACATTTAGTGAAAACAGACACTTAACATTTTTCACACCTGATTCACACAAATGATAAGATAATAATCTTTTGTCAATATAAAAAATTCCTAGATACAGTGGTTATGATGATCAGGTACTGTAAACTATTACCAAAGAAATCATTAAATAAAGATGCTGTACAGTACTTACCACCACGTCTTCATCTTCTTCATCCTCTTCATCTTCTTCATCAGCTTCTTCTTCTTCATTTTCATTATTGTTATTACCATTAACAAACTGTGGTGTGGAAGGTTCATCACCAGCTTCACTACCAGAAGTGCTGGAACTTGTATCAGACTTGCTTGGAGAATCTACCAGCTACACACAGGTGAAGTAGAGGAAATAAAAGGCTTTAGGGAAAAATTAAGAGGCTAAATTTGGACATACAATACTGTAGTCAATACTGTACTATACTACTAAAAAAAATTATAATTACAGGAAATATTTTTGCATGTATTCAATTCAAAATAAGAGCACAAATTTGTAAGGAAACAAATTTTAATCAAGAATTTTCAAATGAATGTAAACGGTGACTACCAATAACTAGAGGTAATATCCAGGAAAATTACAAGTTATGCCTTTTCATCAATACATACTCTGTCTCCTTCCTCAAGACCCAAAACATGTAGGTGTTTGGCAGTCCTAAGGAACGATGCTATGTGCTGCTGGTGGACGTCTACCTGGCCACGATATATAAATGAGACCAGGTAGAGAACATCTTGCACTGGGACCTCTGGCAGCAGCAGCGGGGCATCAGTGTCTGGACAAGCTCCTAAAACAATGGCTGAGAAGAAATAAAGCAGTTGTCTATTACCCATTAAAAAAGGAAATAAACTACAGGAAAACAATACTATACAGTATAATACATCATAAACTGAATTCTGAAGTAAAGAAGAATATTATGCTGTACTGTGCAACATTCAATAAGCAATACAGGCTGCTTACTTAGGGAAAACCATACCCTTTAATGCAAGTCAGGGTTAATTCAGTATTAGGTATACAAATACCATTCCTTCCCCATCACTCCTATCATCCTCAAAAAGGGAGATCAGATGAATCAACTGCCCTCATGCAGCAGATCTTACAGAGTTGTATCTGTCCTATAAGAACACAGCACCAAGACTTTTGCAGATTCATAAGATACAGGATACATTGTTACACTTTGTTTGACTTACAGAGGGTGGCAGAACCTATCTATAAATTTTTTTATTTCAACATGTAGTATCACAAAGTCAAGTTTCTGGTGAGCAAGGTCCATTGCATTAAGGTGAAAGTCAATTTTACCAACTATCATGAGAATTAATTGTATATACACAACCAAGCTTTGTACAATACACATTAGAGTACTGTAATACACAAGTATATCCCTTAAATTAAATGTTCAATTGTACTTCTCAAAAATGATAGGCATCAAGTTTCAATTACTGATAAGTGGTTACAGTGGCACTGAAAAATATATTATTTGTGATACAGTACCTGTACTTACTTCTACTGTAGGATTAATAATGTACTGTACTGAGGTCTGAATCTTACCTAGATATGGTGAGCAGAGGGACAGAACAGCTCGGTGTGCCCTAACAATACCTCCATCACACACTAGTGAGACATCAGTGTAGGCACGACCATGATGGAGGTCTGAGAGCATGCCGGTGAAGGTGGTGGCGTGAGAGTGCCATCTTAAGTGTAGTTGAGTGTCTTGTACGGACTCTCCCATCCTGCAGGAAAAAAATCTTATTCCATTATGTATTATAGACTACAATTAATATGATATTCCAGGGAGCGAGAAAAAACATATTAATGACAAAATACCTTATTCCATTGCATATTAATGTCAAAATAGTGATAATGTAATGATATAGTACTGTACACTTGTTTGTACCATATATCCTGATAATTACTAATATTCAAATGTTCAGTGTTGGACCTTGGTACAGTATAAAGGAATACTCTGGGTGTAACACTAGTGAGTAAAGAATGCACGAGTTGGTTGGTATCTTGCGAGATGAACACTGCGTAGATTGTGGGCGAAGGAAGATTATATGGCTGACTGAGTAAGAGGGAGAGCTGAGTGGCTGGGTGAGGACTGGATGGCTTAACAAGAGGGACTGGATGATGAAAGATAGAGAAGACTGGATGATAAATGAGAGAGAGAGAGAGAATACAAACTGATGGATGGTTGAATGGATAAACGTGGATATGAGAAAACTATCAGAAAAATTACTAAATGAGAAAAAGAAACAAAAATGTGAGTGGCAGACAGTACCTAGATGAGTAAAGACAGCATGAGTGGGTAACACAAGGAAAACATTTAAAGAGGACACTGTGGGTGTGGCAAAGGGGTGTAGTGAGAGACCTTACGTAGAAGAGGGAGGACGTGGGCAGTAGGTGGGACGCTAACACTAGGGCGGGTAGGGCGCGCCGCCACACAAACAAGGGATTGGCAGTGGCGGTGGCGGGGGTTGCGCGCCCGACCCACCAGGGAGGGGAAGGGGGGACTGGGACCACCACACAATTTGGCCGAGAGAGGGGGAGGGTGGGCTAGACACGGAGGGTGCGCGGGAACCAACCTCTTATGTTAGCAACACAATTTATGTTATTTGGTCGTTGGGTCTTCACATATATGGAGGTTTTGATGGTGGAGGTGTGTGGTAATGCTGAGAGCGAGGCAGAAGGACAGTGCCTCCTGCCTGCTGAGCTAAAGTATGGAAGGTGCTACAGGGCGGGGTTCTGCTCCCACCACCAGCACCCACGTCGACGCCACCACCCCTTCCTACATCACACACACCTCCCCTCCTGCCACCACCCCTCCTTACACCACACTCCTCCTCTTCCTACTATCCCACCACCCCTCCTTCCACAAAACCCATCCCCAACCACCAATCCCTCCTGACACCACCCTTCCTTAAACCAAACCGCTATCCTACCACCAGGTCCTCCCAACACTACACCGCTACCTTGTCACTACCCTTCACAACATCATCCCTTTCCACCACCACCCCCTTCGCTCACACCATTGCTACCCAACACCACCGTGAATAATCGCCAAATAACAACTATCACCACCACCACCCTTGTTGGCATTAACACCCTACAACAGAACCAAAATCTTCATCACCATCACACCATTTTCAACGCTACATCTACCACTATGAAACGTGTTAAAACTACAATCACCATTACCTTCTAACCTACTTGCCTATTACATTATTATTTCCACTGATTTTGTACATAATATTTGTATTTGTGTACCTCGGCAGTAAAGTTATTATTAATATTGACGTTTGTACTTTTCCTATCAACACTAGTCTACCAGTCTTGACCCTCGCTCACCCAAAATCCTCCTCGCAGAGTAAATCTGAATCACCCTGTGGTCTTTGCGCTCTTCTGTGATCAATTATAAAATGCTTGAATGTTTTTTTCTCAAGCACCCGTATCATATGGCAGCTGACCACACACACACGACTTCTTAAGTGCATTACAGTATAAATTATCATTAGTATTGGCAGCAGTGGTAATATAGCTTTAGTAGTAGTAGTAATAGTAGTATCAGCAGTAGTAAAAAAGTAGTATTGTAGTAGTACCATCGTTAATAGTATCACTCTTTCTACCACTACTACCACCATCACCTTTACAGCCTCCATCGTGCACCATCATTAACAACATCATAATTTATCACCAACAACTTGAATATAATCACCATTTTTACCCTCACCATTATCACCGCTACCTCCACCATCTTTACCTTCACCACTATCACCACCACATCTACCCTCCACTCAGAGTGATAGAGCCACAGCGTCCCCCCTTCGTCATCCCTAACCCCTCCTTACCCCTATCACCCCAACCCTTCCCTTTTATTACCACCCTTCACCCTATTACTAACCTTCCCCCTACCACCACCACCACTACCACCACCACCACCACCATCCATTCCCCTACCACCACCAACCCTTTCCCTACCACCACCACTAGTATCCCTTTCCTACCACCACCACCTCACCACTAGCATCCCTTTCCATACCACCACCACCACCACCAACCCTTTTCCCTACCACCACCACTAGCATCCCTTTCCCTACCACCACCAACCATTCCTCTACCACCACCATAGCAACCCTCCTCCCACCACCACCAACCCTTTCCCTACCACCACCACCACCACCAACCCTTTCCCTACCACCACCACCACCACCAACCCTTTCCCTACCACCACCACAAGCATCCCTTTCCCTACCACCAACCATTCTCTACCACCACCAATAGCAACCTCCCTACCACCACCACCACACCCTTTCCCTACCACCACCACCACCAGCCCTTACCACCAACCCTTTCCCTACCACCACTAGCATCCCTTTCCTACCACCAAGCCATTCCTCTACCACCACCACTAGCAACCTCCCTACCACCACCACTAACCCTTCCCTTTACTACCACCAGCACATTAATGGCCCCTCCCCCCGACCAACCACTTTGCCTTGTTTTCACTGGAGGAGGATAAGAGGCATTTTGTGTGGTGCCCCACCTCACTCTTCTTCCCCCACCCTATACGTCCCATGTGTTCCTCTCCCCCCCCCACCTGTACACCGTATGTACTCACATGTACGCCGTATGTGCTCCTCTCCCATTTGTCACTTCATGTGCTTCCCTCCCACTTGTACACCTCATGTGCTTCCCTCCCACTTGTACACACCTCTTGTGCGCCTCTCCCATCTGTACACCTCATCTGCCCCCGTGCCCCCCCCTCTTCAATAAGCTCATACTCAGAGCTGGCATGAAGTAAACTAGATTCCTTCTGCGTCAACGATAATATCCTCACAGAAACTCAGTTGGATTTTAGAGCAGAAAAATGAGCATAATGTGCTCTACTGTCCTCACCAACGACATCCCCAACTCCTTTGATGACAACCAGTTCACAGTCCGAGTATTCTTGGACCTCTAAAGCCTTTGATACCGTCCACCACACATTCTCATTGACGAAACTAGAGCACTACGGTGTTAGAGGCCTATTCAACTACACGGTTCGCATAATAAGTGTCGTACAGGAAGCTGCTGCCAAGAGGCTTAATTCATTCACTCCCTCGACTATTCTACGTGGTGTTCCTTTGGGCTTCATACTTGGACCAGTGTTGTTTCTGTCGTACATACAGTTCACTCCAGTGCAGTTGTAAAGTATATTTACAGATGATAGTATTGTATATGACGAACATGTAGCCCTCATTCATGGATAAGGACTTGAATTCTGAATAAGTTAATATCAAGAACAGAAAACACGGTGATAAAACTGATAAAACTACATTACCGGAGTTAGGCATCAAGTACATTAGAACTCCACAACTTAAACGAGAACAAAGTACAAAATTCCACGATATTATTAATAATAACCACTTAAGCTGGAATAAACACACTCCGTATATTTGAAATAAAATCAACAAACAATGCGACCGGACATCTCGCCCTACCCGCCATCGCTCACCACCGGACCATCCCAACAAAGTCTACAGCGTAATTCACACCAGTGCCGGATTTAGACCTGTGGAGGCCCATGGGCAGCCTCTTTGTGGAGGCCCCCCTCATTATAACTACCCAAGAGGGTGGGGTGGTGAGTGAAGCGAGCCTAAACATCTGGGAGTTCCAGGGGGCGCTGTAAGCCCCCCGGGAAAATGTTGAAATTTGAACACTTTTTTGGAAATTTTTGAAGCCATATGCAGTTATATTGAGGAAGTTAGAACATTGAGAAATTTTCAATTAACTGTATATTTATTGATAGTGTACAAATTCCCAAAAAACACACCCACACAAAAGTGAGACATGACTGGAGTCATTCATGTGGTTTCAAGTCGACCAGCCCTGACATAGCTACTGCCGCACATGTCAAAAATAAACATGAATTTTAAAGAATGAAAAAAAATAATCCAAATGAATAAACAAATAAATAAAATATTGTAATATGTAGAGGCCCCCAGATTGTGGAGGACCCTGGACAGCTGCCCACTTTGCCCACTCCTGAACCCGGCCCTGATTCACGCCTCATTTCCTTAAATCATCTCTTATAACTAATCTATCACCTAAATACCGTATCGTTAGACACAGATACCTCGATAATGAGTAAATATTTTTTTTTTACTAATATCTTAAGTCCGTCTTTTATTTATGTAACTTGTCTTCACTTACTTAACACCTTAACAAAGAGTTACTGTACTGCAATAGGGGTACTTAACTGAAGGTGATTTTTAATGTAGTATTTTATCATATTTTGATTTTTAAATTTATTAAACTTCTTATTTTATTTATATTATAGATTTAATATGTGATTTTCCTCAGTGCTAGAAATCACTGGTGTAGGTTCATTCATCTTTTGTATGTTGACTGAGCAATATATGAAGGATGAATACGATAGCGACGTGAGGCTATCAAATCGGTAATCTAAATACATTTATGAGGCGCCATTCCAAGATAGCAGCATCTATAAACTCCTAAACATGTCATTCTATTTCATACCGAATAACTTAATGGTTCATAATAGCTGTTTCAATTCAATTTTCCCTATGTACACTACACCTCATGTGCTCCTTCCTCCTCTAGTAACTGTGTGCCTCTAGGTCCGTCTATCAACATCTTAAAGGGAAATTGCGTTTACTACTTGGTATTCAACAACCTACTAAAATGCCACCAGATTACGTGAGTCTCCTAGGCCTGGGAACTGTTAATATGA